TAAAAAAATATACGTTTTGAAAATTATCATAATAAAATTTATAAACATTAACATTGTAAAACTTCCAAAAATTTGATTAGTTACTCAGTGATATTATATCATTTAAGCTATGCAATTTGAAAAAAACATCGTAAAAACTTTATTTTCGCATTTAAAAAAAAAAATCTGTTAAAAAAATCTTTTAACTGAGAAACAAGTTATACGTTTTTATTTCTTTAATAATTTAAACAAATCATGTTTTTATCATCAGAATTAATAAAGTGGAATCTTTGATTTTCGAAAAATAAGAGGTTGCCTCTTTAGAAGACCTATGTCACTATCGACGACTTTCCTCTATAAACTGAATTATTGAGAGTTCGACACGTACGTTTCGACGACGTTTCGAAAATTGCTTCATCAATTATCGGATTATTGAATAAAAATCACGTACTCTCTCTCTCTTCTGGCGTTAATTTTATTACAAGTTGCTCAAACGATGGTCATGTTCGTGGCGTTTTGTAAACAGGAGTCAGGGGAGTTTTCAAGATCGTAACACGCGCTCCTGGGTGTTTAACTTCTGAATCGCCGACGAGTTTATTCCCGCACGCGAGCGGTCCTGGCAAGACGAATTTACGACAGCCTAGGGGAAAGTTTGATTGGCCTATTAGCGGGTCAAGTTAATTGGACGCCCGATGTATGAAATTCTGGTGTCGCAATAATGCCTACGTTAATTATATCCGAAGGCTCACGAGACACGCGACGTGCATACGTTAGTATCGTTATCGAAGTTGATCGAAATTTTTCCCTCGGGAAAAACGATTCCCAGGCAACGCTAATCGTCGTTACTTTTCAACGTTGTCACCCCCAAACTTAAATCCGAACTTTGAAGAAATTTGTCGAGGCTTAGATAAAAGGTAAGAGGTTTAAGAGGTTTCCTCAATCTTGTAACGCGCCGTATTATATAAGTTAGAAAATCGGATTAACAACGATGTCGAGTAGTCAAGAAGATTTCAAGGAGAAATCGTCTGTGCTTATACAATATGGGATCAACAGTCATCCCGGAACTTTAATCCACAGCTTGCGCTTTCTCGCGTAAAATCTTCTCGCGTAAAATTGTCTTTCGAGGTGCGAAACGCACCTTCTTCGGGACGACCGCTCCGTTCGAGCGGTTTCTCCGTTTTCAGTTTCGCCGTTTGATCGCGCCCGAATTGGGTGGACGTTACCTGGTGGATGCTTACCTTGCTGTAAACGCCGGCGCTGGACAGTTCGTTTTCGATGACCATGACGATGATGCCGAACATGCCCATCACGAGGGCGTAGTCGCTGATGCGCTTGCGCTTCTCGAAGAGGGCCTTCCGCCTGCCCAGCCGGTAGCCGACGTTCGGCTTGTGCTTGGACCCGGGTCCGATGCTGCCACCGCCGGACTGG